ATCAGGAAGAGAATCTTGTATATATTTATTTATTTTTAATTGTTATCAAGTACCAAAGACTGTAGTCAGCTGAATGTTAACCCTACTGTAGGTATGGTACGCTAGAGATGAGAGCCTAGCTAAATTTATCTGTCACATAAATGGCTTTATTTAGGACCTATGACAGAGGCTAGAAGAAGAGAAGCTGCCTCCAAACATTCATGCTCATGCAGCACTGCAGGTAGAAGTGGAATTGTGGAGGAGGTTTGGGCACTGCTGGTGGGACATATGGGAACCCCAGATGAGCATGCAAGGCAGCCCACAGCACAGACCCTGGTGTGGAAGTTCTGGGGAATTCTAGGACTTCTCCCTTACAAATAAATAAATGTCTGTGTATCAACATCTTAACTCTTGCATTACTTCAGGGGTCAATTCTGAAACTGGTGCAATGAAGGTGAAACAATGTGAAGGTGTTCTGTGCTGGCTGTGCAGCAGAGCAGTAAAATGGGGGGTAGGGGGGGTAGGGTGATGGCCCCTGCAGTTCTGTCCTTGCTGCTGTAAAATTCACAGCCATCCAGGCAGCTTTAGGTCAAAGCAGGAAAACTGGAGATTTAATGATAGTTTTGGTATACTTACCTATGAGCAGGAGTGAAAGTGATTTGAAGCAGCATCCTTAAGACCCAGACCTAATTATAGTAACAGCATTGGGTGCTGCTGACAGGTAGAGAGTTGAAAAATCACTCATACTGAAGTTACTGCCTGCACCAGTAGGGCAGTGTACTTCAGGCTGTGAGGGCAGAACTATGTAAGACCTCAGAGTCAGCACTTGGTGCTTTCATCTTCTGAACTTGCTGTTGCTACCAGTGCACTCAGCTGAGCATAGGTGGCAGCAGCATGGGACCAGATCAAATGAGTCCTTGCCAGGATGGTCAAAGAGAAAGATGTATGGTCTCGTGATGTGATTTTTTCGTATAATTGTTCTGTGGGAGTTTTTTGTTAAAGAAGGAGGAGGGTATGCCAAAATCACTTGTCTCTACTGGGCCTTGATGAGTCCTTGCATCAGTGGACAAAAAAAGGGGCAACTGATGTCATCTACCAAGACTAATGCAAAGCCTTTGATGTGGTCCTGCACTGTATCCTCATCTCTAAATTGGAGATAGATGGATCTGAAGGCTTTAGGTGGATAAAGACTTAGTTGGATGGTCACAGCCAGACCCTACGTGTAGGTGGAGGATGGTCACAAGTGGTTCTCCCCAGGGTCCATCTTGGGACTGGTGTTCTTCAACATTTTTATCAATGATGTAGACAGCATGATGAAGTGTACCCTCAGCAAGTTTGCTGATGACACCACGCTGAGTGGTGCATTTTTCACAATAGAAGGGAGGGACGCCATCCAGAGGAACCTGGAAAGGCTTGAAAAGTGAGTACACAAGAATCTAATGAGGTTTATCAAGGCTAAGCTCAAGGTGTTGCACAGGGGTTGAGGCAATCCCAGACATGAGTACGGACTGGGAGAACTCACTGGGAGCAGCACTACAGAAAAGGACTTGAGGGTGCTGATGGATGAAAAGTTGTACGTGAGCCAGCAGTGTTCTTTTACAGCCTGGAGAGCCAACTGTGTCCTAGTCTGCATCAAAAGAGGGGTGGCCAGCAGGCAGGTGGAGGTGATTGTCCCTTGCTGCTCTGTCCTTGTAAGAGTCTATCTGGAGTACTGTGCTTAAGCCTGGGCCTCCCAGTACAGGAAGAATGCGGAGCTGTTGGAGTGGGTTTAGAGAAGGGCTATGAAAATGTCAGAGTGCTGGAGTACTGCTTCTGTAATGAGAGGCTGGGGGAATTGGACTGACTTAGCTTGGAAAAGAGAGGGCTCTGAGGAGACCTCATTGTGACTTTCCAATGCTTGAAGGGATCTTACAGGCAGGAGGGCAATGGACTTCTTACATGGTCTGTTAGTGAAAGGACAAAGGGGAATGGCTTTAAACTAAGAGGGGGGGAGGTTTAGGTCAGTATTAGGGAGAAATTCTTAATTCAGAGGGTTGAGACACTGGCACAGACCGCCCGGAGAGGTTGTGAGCCTCCTGTCTTTGGAGGCACTTAAGGCTGGGTTGAATGGGTTCCTGGCCCGCTTGATCTAATAATTGGTGATCCACTGGAGCCTCCTATGAGGTTCTACTAAAGCTATGTGTTCTGGGTTATCTGTTCTGACTGTGAATCCCTTGAGTGCTGCAGTTCTGGAGGCTTCATGAATGACTCCAAGAGAGAAGACTTTCTTTCCAAGGGAGCATCTCAATGTGTGGAGCTAAGGTAGGAATTGGGTGTTCTCGATAGCAGGTAGGGAAAAATAAGAGTTCTCTCAGGAGAGCTGTAGTTGGTATAGCACTCTTCTTCTTGCTTATGCTGTTCTGAGTACAGTTTTCAGCCCTCTGCTGATGCAATTAAATTTTCCTATATACCTTTTCTGCAGGGCAGGAATTGTCCTATTTATTTTGTGGTTCTGGCAAAATCAATTTTGTTACAATTCCCCCTCGCACTTGCGTAGCTTACTGTGCTGACCAGTCAGCAGCTCTGCAGAAAGCGTCATAGCAATGCTGCCTCTCCAGTTCTGCCAGCCTGTGTGGCTGCCCAGTATAGCTTCTGAGATACTGGCCCCACTGAGCTTTTGCACATTCTTCATCATTCACCAAGCAGACCTCGGAACAGATGAGGTACAGCAGCAGAAGACTTGTTCTGGAGATTGTTGTGTACATTTTGCCAGGATAGGAGGGAACGGAAAGCTGGGTCATTATGTATTTCAAAAAAAGGAGAAGAAAAGATTGAAACTTCCTTTTTCTAAAAGCCCTGAAGCTCAGGAGCTGCTTTACTCTGTCCTCCTTCTTCCACTTTGTGAAAATTATACTAGTCCAACAAGCTCTGCTACTTACTCACCCTTTACTTCCTGGAAAACATAGATGTAGAACTGGAAAGGAGCTTATGAGTTAATGAGTCTAGGCTCTCTTGCCTCAGCAAGCACGTTGCTTGGTCCCTTTCTTAAACTTACCACATTTCTTCTAAAAGTTCTGTTTGATTGTGGTTTCTTTTTTAGTTTTTTCTTCTTTTTTTTTTATTAATTTTTTTTGGATCCTGAATCCTATATCTTGTGTTCAGTACTGTTCGTGTAGCTTGTAGACCAAGAGTGCTCGCCAGTTACGTGAAAAGTCTATCAGCCTTTGCCAGGAGCTCTTTGACCATGCTCAGCTTAACCTGGTGCTCAGGTGTTCCTTGCTCCTTGTACCTTCCACTGGGCTGGGTTGGCTCCCTGCCTGACCTGATTCCTTTATGGCTCTCTCTAGTGTCTTTACATTCGTAGCTGTCTGCTCTAAGAGGCTGCTACTTGGTTCAGACAAACCTGGTGCACAGGATAATAGGCATGTAAGAAGGTGTGGAAATGTCTTTAGGGAGGAGAGTAGCATAAGAGAGCTTCACAAAAGGAGTGGTGTTTGCAGGAGACCGAGGTACTTGGAATGTGGGAGGCGGCTTTACCTATTAGACAGGGTCTGGGTGGGATGTATGGGGCCAAAATGAGACCAAAAAATGGGAAAGGAATAGGAAATTGGAGCTCAAGTAGAATAATATAGGAGGTGTAATTGGATGTAACACTGAGCCTTGAGAAACAGAGGACGGGCTGTCATTTATCAGGAAATGGCAAGAAATAATGCAGAAGGAGGGTGGCATAGGAAAAATCAGTAGGAAAGGAGCAGGGTTTTGGCAGTTTAATTGGTGTGTTCTTGCATTGAAAAACACATTGCTGCTGTACAGAAAACTGTGTTTGTGTTATGGGGCAGGTATGGGATGACTTTGCGCCGTGCAATGCAGAAGTGTAAACTTCTCTCTCTTTGTATAAAAGCTCCAAGGATATCCCAAACACAAGACCCTGGATTTCAGATTTCTCTGTTTAGTCTGTGTGCTATAATTTAATCTAATATGACAAAATATTTGTAAGCACACATTTGTTTTGTCATGTGTATGTTTTACTTCTGATTTAAAACAGAATTAGCATTTCATATGTGATATTCTCTCTTTAAAAGAAAGGGGGGGGGGGGGGGGAAAGACGGCTGCTATCCAATGCTGGTCTAGTCATTTGCTAATCTGCTCTGATCAAGTTTTATGACCTGGGATCATGCTAATCCCCAGTGGTCATGTAGTTACTATAGTTTCACCGATAGAGCAAGGATTGCGTGCTGCAAGGCAATGCAGCACCAGTTCATAGCTGGGGTAATTCTGGATGTGGGCATGGACCACATGTAGACCCCTCTGTACCTGGATGCAGTAAGCAGCACATCTCTACCACTCATTCCTCTTGTTCTGCTCTGCTTGCATGCTACTCAGAGATATTTTGTTGTGCTTCTGGATTTTCAGTGACTTTGGAGTTTAAAGTTGTATGTTGGGGAAAAAAAAGAAAAGAAAATTTATACAGATCTTGTGTCCTACTCCTTAAAAAGTGGTTTTGTTGTTGTCTTGCAGATAAGTAATCCTCCTAGGACAAAGGTTACAGTAAGTTTTATGGACTCAGTGGATGAACTTTGGGTGTGGGTATCAATAGTGCTGTGCTGTTTTAAAGACTTTTTCTTCCCAGTTGATCTCTGCATCCCTCAGTTGTCACCATGTGTCAGATAGGAATGAAAACTATTTTTACTTCATAAATCCCAGTGACTCTTAGGAGAGGGGGTGCTACCATATTAGTTTGTTTGGGGCAAAAATTGGGGCAAGGCAAGATAAAGCATCAAAGATTCCTATCTGTATGGCTTATCTGCTAAGAGATATGCTGTGAGTCTGTTTTATGCTCACAAAAAGGAAAACTCCATCAAAAAGTGTGGTATTGCTTACGTAAATGCTGCCACGGCTCTGCCTATGACAAACTGGTGTTTATTAGAAACCTATGCAGCCTCAAGAGTTGGGTTTATGTGACACTGATTTTTTGACCCATTGCTGTAAATTGCATGCAAATTTAAATTCATTGATTCAAATTGTGCTGGGATGATAAGCGTTATTAATTGGTGCACAATTTCCTCAAATGCCTTCACCCTCAGGAGAAGCTGCAGATGCCGGATGGGATGTTGATACGTGCACGTTTCCATTTCAGCCCTGTGTAGGGCCCTACAGAGGGGCAGGATGCGACTGTACCTCCCCTCTGCATTGCTTTGTGACCAGAGGAGTTGGCTCCAGAAACATCAGCCTATGTTAAGCATCTTTCATCAGCTTTGACTTTGCTAATGGCATTGATTTGCTTTAAATACTTCTGCCATTTCAGATTCTCAGTCCTTTGTCAATGGAACGGGATGTGCCTCCTTTTGAATCTGAGATGTAGAAACCTTCCTGTTCACTTGCCAGACAAGCTCTACTTTGGATGTAGAAAATACAGTTATATATCCCAGCAGACTGTCTCCTCTCTTTTGTGTATCATATCCCTTCTCAACCTGGAGGTAAAAGCCAAGATGTCACAAAGTAGGCAGCTGCTTCTTCCTAAAACACTTGTGAGTCAATTCCCAGTGGGCATGAAGATGAAGATAACCCGGAGTGCTTGCAGGGACAGGCTCCATTCGTCACCTAGCAGTTTCTTGCTTGTCTGTTTTAACCCTCTCTGACACTTTTCATCAGTCTTACCATTTCCAAGTCTTTTCAGCCAGGAGGGCTGGCTTGCCCACCAGGTGTGGCAGGAAACTGGGGTCCAGGAACATCTGACCTGAATCTTAAACTAGCATGCATTGAAGGTGTTTGTGAGCTTCTATTTTACTGAATAACTGCAGCTCTTCTGTTGCTATGAAAGCAGCTACTGACACTGTGTGTTGGATATCTGACAGTTCATGGGCTGATATCTCTGTATGTTGCCACTCCTGATGATGTGGCGTTTCCTATCAGTAACAATTGCACAACACTAACTGTGAATTAGAGATAATTGCCGAATTATTTTGAATATCTTGGGAAAAAGCTCTATAATTGTCTAAGATGCAACAGAAATATGTCGTCTGCCTAAGCAAGAAAGGACTTGATACAGAAATCTCTCCAATCTGAATACAGCGCTTTCTTTACTACAGGTAAATGAAAATGGCATACTGACTGATGGAGAAGAAACAACTGCAAGTTGGAGTATTTATTCAGTGTGTGCCCATGTGTAGCCTTAAGAGCAAAAGCCTATTTATAGAGGATTAATATCATAATCCTTGTTCTTTTGTTTTAATGTCTTGTAGCTGAACTGTCTTCTGGAGAGAATGAAAAGAATGGAGTGGAAGTGTGGAAAGAGTGGAAAAGGCTGGATTGTGCTCAATCATGAAGCAGCACCAGGCTGATATAGGATGCCACTGCCTATTATATCTCCGGGCAGCAACAGTCTGAGGGTGTTGAGGTGAGCTACAGTTTGCTTCATTTCATGAGGCTTTAAGGATTCTGGTTTTATAACTGTATTCTATCCATGGAAAGTTGTCTGAGGTTGCTCATAGTTCTCATACTTATTTTCCATGTGAACTCATGTTGTCAAACCCACCCAAATAATTAAATAGAAAAAAGCCTTTTTTTTTTCCCTGCTATTTTTGCCTTTATATTTGAGGTTTATGGAGGTGCTCATGCTTTTCAATTTGCCTTAACTCGCAAAAACTAGAGATGTATTTGTTTAGAAACAGCCCCCCATCTGCTCCCCCATTCTCCAGATGAGAGCTGAGTGGCTCACCTCATCTTCTGGATGGAAGGTTTTAAGAAACTCTTGCAGTGATGTGCAAAGTACTAAAGCAGGCTAACCAAACTGCAATTTATGTTCAAGAACACCATCTTTTGTGTGATGGCCTGGATGAGCAATAACGCCAATGTCTTGTGAAGACTGCAAACTGTTTTAAAAGAATTCTTACATTAAATTAAGTAGAAGCAGGAATGTTTTTCAAACATTTTTTTTTTAAATCTCACATTGCATTATTACTGTCTCTGAATAGCTATTGTGCGCAAAAACTGAACTGAAAGCTTTGTGGTTTCTTCCAGTGTTTCACTTAACTCATGATTAAGTAGTCACTGGTGGTTTTTTTTAGGTCCTCCTGTAATTTGATGTCCTTCACTAATGCTCTCAGAAAGCCATGTATAAACAGAGCAAGTGCACTTTATGCCTATTCATTGTTTATTGCTGAAGAGGCCTAATTTTTTCCTGGCGTTTATTTTGAAGTAAGAGTTACTGTGCTCAACAGAGTAATTGGGCATAAAAGAAAAAAAATAATCTCAAGAGCAAGTGAAGTAGAAAAATTAGGACATCATTTCTCCAACTCTTCTACCTTAGGCATAAGCCCGAAGATACATTAACGTTTAAACTTTTCTTAATAGCTTATACGTTTGCGAATGTGCATAATAAATCTGTTATTCAAATGAAAAGTCAAATGGCAGTGGTTTGGAGCTCTGCATTCCCCCAGATTTTTCAATTTCATTGTTCTATTTCATTGTTTTCAATGCCAGCATCTTTGGAATATATTGCAATGTGACCTTGGATATTTTATGAAATAAGCCATATATGAGCATGTCATTCCAAAATAAAATCCACTTATTTGCCACAGAAGGAAGGAGATGAGCTAGAGATTTGTAATATCAGTACATTGTGCTAAGGGAAATTATAAAAGTGAATCACTTATTTAAGTGTCTACTCTGTTATTATTATTTCAGAAAGAAACATAGTAAGATTATGCCAAAGCCACTCCTGTTTATACAGAAAAAAGATTGTTTTGTGCCTTATTTTTTTTGTAAAGATTGAAGACTTAACCACAAAATAGTAAGCATACATTGTTGCCCACTACTATATGTTGCACAGTAATTTGATTTTTCTATGATTAAATTTGTTTGGAGATTGAAAGACTTAGCATATATATACTGCCTGGAAACAAAACAAAATATTTTAAACCCCAGGATGTTTGCTGTAGCTAGTATATTCTTTTTCTGTGCATGGGAGCTTAGTTGCTGGTATAGCTCTGCTAACATGACCTCTCTGTAAGCTGTGATTTCCTAGATTAGTACAACTTACATCAGAGTAGCTTACTCAGTTGACAAGTGTGGTTCTTTTCTAATTGGTGATAGTGATTTTTGCCCTGGAAAATGCTCTCATTTTTCAGTAGTGGATACTGCTAAAAGGAAGAGAGGGAGACATGTATTTAGACTGGCTAATGTATCTCTTCAGACTAAACAGAGACTTACAGAAAATAGTGAATCTGACAGAAGTTCATAAATAGCCCATCTACCCTCTCCTACCACCTGTCCCAAGTTAGAGAGAGTAAGTTGTCTTGGGGGAGGGCAACAGGGAAGCATGGAATATGGGAAGAGACAAGAGAATTGTGTCTGAATATAAGTAACTTTCTGACGCTACATACATTTACCTTTAAAAAAAAAAAAAAGTCACACATCAACATCTAACAAGCTATCCATCAAAGTGAGGTATAAGAAATAAAAGAAGTATGTAGTAAAAGGTAATCACAATTTACAAAGAGTCTACTGTGTGGGAGGGTGGAGGAAGAAAAAACTCTGGAGGTGAGTATTGTGATTCATTTTGCAATAATTAATATGAAAGAGTCTTAATCAGTTATAAAACATAACCAAATTAATTAAATAACAATTGACGTAAATTAACTGTACGTACTTGCACTTTTTATCTATTTTACTCCTGAGAGTTTTTTATGAGCATCTACAAGATACAGGGATCTTTTGCTAATTATTTAACCAGTTGTGGTCCTGTTCTGTAATGCTGTGTAGCAAACTATAACTATTAGACTCTGGCCAAGCCATGCCCTGGCATTATCACCTATTTTTTTCTTTGGTCTGCTATGGAAGTCTTCCCTTATGAGTCCTGATCTGCTGTTAAGATCATCCTGAGTACTCACTTTTGTCTGCTGAGGGCATACTGTCTGGAACAAAAAATATTCAGCCTCTCTCATCACATTAGATTGAAATCAAATTGCTTAGTGGTAAAGTTTTCCAAAAAAGAATAGCAGATATTTGCAGGACAGCAGCTTACTGCTTTTTGCCAGCAGCATCTCACTAGTCTTCACAGATGAAGTGTGGAGTGTGGCATTGCATACCAAAGAGGATGGTGGGGACTTAAGGCAAATTGGAGAATGGTTAAGGGCTCTTGACTATGTCACCTTTTTCCGGAGCTCAGAAATGATGCTACTCACCAACTGCAAGCAGAGGAGGGTGGCCCAAAGGGAGCATAACATGCAGCGCATGCAGCCACATCAGCCTGCATGTTTGGCAATCATCTATAAAAGGGAGTAAGTCCAGAATGCAGCACAATGGTAGCAGTAAACACCAATGGTAAAGTAAGACCTTTGCTTTAGAATGGTGGGATGAAATCTTACTCTGTTGGATCCAGAATACCATCTATTAGCTGCAGAGATCATCTGCTTCTGGAGAATCAGGTACCTAAGCAGGAAAGGAGGAGAATTTGAGAGTGGTAGGTAGTATCTTGTGGTCAATTCCCCATCTTCAGATTGTCAAGGTGCTCCTTCCATTTCATCGCAAATGTCTCTACTCTGCAGTCTGAAGATGTGTAGCCTGCTGATTTCCTGTAATGCCATCAATCATGGTAGGTTTTCTTGGAAACAATTGTGCTTTCATGTTTTAAGTCTCCAGTTGTTGTTAAGGTATGCGAAAGATATGGGAATGTTGCTGGGAGTTGGGCAAGACCATGAGGAAAGAGGGGAACTTCCATTTGAAACTGCACTGCTGTGAGGGGCTCTGAAGCACTGCAGGCACGTTGCAGGACTAGATCATAAGTTTTTTCTCAACTGTTCTATAGTTAGATGAACTGTTACCGTGGAGAAAGTTCAAATCTCAGCACCCTCTTAGTCCTAAATGCATGCTTTCTCCCTGTCATTCTGCCATGGCTTTCATAGGAGAAGGTCAAAGTGCAGGTACAAGTGTGGTGTGTGCTGTGCTTGGCATTGCCACATGAGACAGGCATCTGCAGTCTGTTTGTCCTGCACCACAGTTCATATCTGTGATGCTTTCTGCATCCCCCTTTGCTCTTGGATTTTTTTTTTTTTTTCCCATAAAGTTATCTAAAGAGCTCCTGTGAAATCAAGTTCAGTGTAGATTGTGGGTTTTGCTCTCGTCCACTCCTATTGCTGACTGCTCCAGCAGTTCTGATCAAATTCCAAGTTTGCTGTAGCTAAGACTCTTTATCAAGGGAAAACATGCTGTATGCAAAGCAAGTTGAAGTGCCCTCTTAAGAAATGAGGTTTGACTTTCTGTGATATCAAAAAGAGCATTAAACCAGAATTTAATCCATCCTGGGAAATCATATTTCACAATCTAATGCCTGAAGCCCTTTTCCTTTTGATATGAGGATCAGAATTTTGATCTCTCTCGTGGTTTGCCTAAACATTTTCTGTTAAATGACAGCGAGTTAATAAGTACAAAATAGTGGGTGGTTAAGTACCGTTTAGCAGGCCAGCGCTTTGCCTAAATGGGAAAGCTCTTTGTATAAGATAAGGAGTAAATTGGAAACTGTGAAATTAAATAGTGTAGCCACATCTTGTAGACACTCCTGTTTTGGTATTAAATGAGCTAGGGTTATTTCAGCTTACAACTTACAAAGACTTTTAAACTCAGCAGTGAGTCTTATCCTGGAACAAAGGTCTATCCACATGAGTAAGTTTCATGAATGCATCTCTTGCTGCTCTTAGTGAAAAGAAAAAAGCCCACATATGCTACTTGTGAAGTGTCTCCTTCGATAACGTGTGATAATGTGGAACAATGGAGTGGGCAAGCTCGATAAGAATTTCCAGTAGCTTTGTGCTGAGGGAAAGGAGCTATGATAGCTGTGCGGAGAGCAGTTTGTTGTAGACTGATGAAATGACAGCTTTTGTGACACGATGAGAGGGGAGCTGATACCTGAGTCAGTAATGGAGTGCCAAAGCCAGGGTAGAATTATCATGCTGGAACACTGTTATGAAAGCTGTCGTAAGCATCATGTGCTCCTCTTGGGTGTCATGGTAAAGACGGTAGTAAGGCGGTGTCAGACAGAGGTGATGTTAGGATAAACACTAGTACGGCTGTGCCTAAGGATCTTCTGAAATGCCAGTAAAAGTACTCCTGTAGAAATGTGAAGAAACTTATAGTTACCCTTTTAAGGGGAGTATGGTATCTCCTGCAGTTAGACTCTACATCACCCTTCCTCCATTGTTAGATGATCATGGAGTGATCATAATTGCATATCCTTAGTGTGGATATAAGCCATGCAAACTTTGAGAGATTTTAAAGCCTTTTGAATGTTTTCTTTAAGGAGAAACAATAATGAATCATAGAATTCTTAGAGTTAGAAGGGACTTCTAGAGTTCATCTAGTATGACTCCCTTGAAACAAACAGGGACATCCACAGCTCGACCAGACTGCCCAGGGCCTGATCCAGCCTCACCTTGAAAGACTTCAGAGATGGGGTATCAACATCATCTCTGGCCAACCTGTTACAGTACCTCACCATCTTCTTTGTAGAACTCGTACTACACAAATCACCACTCTTCAAGTTTGAATCTTATCGCAACAGACCTTACTAAAGAGCGTGTCCCCTTCTTTCCTGTATCTTCCTGTTAGATACTTCAGATACTATCAGGTCACCTTGGAGCCTTCCTTTCTCCAGTCTGACCAGCCCCAGCTCTTTCAGCCTAATCCTCATAGGAGAGGTGTTCCATCCCTTTGCTCATTTTTGTTGCCCTCCTCTGGATGCACTCTACACAGGTCCATGTCTCTCCTGTACTTAGGACTCCACATCTGGATGCAGTACTCCAGGTGAGGTCTCACCAGTGCAGGGCAGAGGGGCAGGGTCATCTCTTTCAGCTTGCTGGCCATGCTGCTTTTGGTGCGGCCCAGGTTGGCTTTCTGGGCTGTGAGGGCACATTGCTGGCTCAAGTCCAGCTTTCTATCCACTAGTACCCCCAGGTTCTTTTCAATGGCAGGACTGTGCTCCACCCTTTTATCCCCCAGCTTGTATTCATAGTGGGTGTTGCTGCAACCCAGGTGCAAGATCTTGCATTTAGATTTTTTGGGCATAATGATATTCTTCTGCACCTAAGTCTGCTCAAGTTTGTCTAGGTCCCTCTGAATGTGTTGACTGCAACCTGCAGCTTGCTGTCATCAGCAAACTTGCTGAAGGGTACACTCAACCCCTCTGCTGATGTCAGTGATGAAGATATTAAAGAGTACTGGTCCTAGCACTGAACCCTATGGGAGACCACTTGTTACTGTTCTCCATCCATGCATTGAACCATTGACTGCCAGCCACTCTATGGACTTGATCCTGCAGCCAGTTCTTTGTCCTTTGAACAGTCCACCCATCAAATTCATATCCTTCCAATTTGGAGAGAAGGGTGATGTGGGGTACCTTGTCAGAGGTCTTACTGAAGTCCAGATAGATGACATCAGTGGCTCTTCCCTTGTCCTTTAGTGGCACCATGATAAAAAAGCTGCTAGGTTGGTCAAGCAGGATTTGTCCTCGTGAGGCCATGCTGGTTCACAAACTGGGGTATATCTTGAGTTCAGGCACTTAGTAAACAATACCTGTAAGTCCTGAATATCGATAGTACCAATCAGCAGAATAAAATGTCTTGGCTCACTGTTTTTCTTTCTAGATCAGCCTGTTCTCTAGAGGTCTCTGTCAGATGTTTCTCCAAAGTATTGCCACAAATCCTTCCCCCTCTGTTGCAAATTACCATGCTTTTCTGGTCAACTCTTATACATGCAAGGCTCCAGCAGGCAGCTTACAGTCTCTGGCTTTGCCATTTT